TGAGAATCGATTCTAGAACATAAATGACTGGTATCGGAGGAATCGATATTTCAGTATCGATCCACACATCACTAGAAATGAGTGGGTGAAGTAGTAGTAGCTACATCCGTCTTTTAAACTGTGTGATTTCAGAGAAAGGATGAACTGAAAGACTAGCAGGGTCCAGGATGCCAGAAATGAGGATTATTTTGAACTGGCGCAAACAAATGATGCAGGTGGAAACGAGCTGAATAATGTCCACTTTAAGTCTCGCTCGCTTTTTGAAGTTCGGCTGCTGGTGGATATTGCAGGCTCTGGTTGGAAAAGTGACCCTCTGGTCGTCCATGTGCTCTCTGTCAGTCAGTGTCCTCAGAAATTAGCTCACCTGTGTCACTTTAATTCACTCAAAGGAAAGATGTTCTCATGCAACTGTTCCCTGTAAATGAAGCTAAAGAAGCAGAGTGAACAGCTCTGTTAGCAGACAATAAAAAATTAATAAATGAATAAAAAATAAATAAATCTCAGGGTCCAACTTAAAAGTGAAGCTGGTGCAGAAACAACTTAACCGCTGAGGATGGATTTGCAAAAGACGCTGACTATGCAACCCAGCAGGACCACAGAGTAGATCAGGCCCCGTCAGTACTACGCTACCACACTTGGCTACAGTCAGACATCTTTTGTTCGTGGAGCAGCAAACTGCCTCACTCTGATTTTCAGCTGCCACTTTGCTGGGTCTGCATTTATTTTTTTTTTTAAATCACATTGTGTGTGCTTGTTGTTAAATAGCAGGATGGAGCCACTGTTTCTGTACAGAAAACAAAAAAAAAGCTATGAAAAATCCCACTATCGGCCTTAAAGAGTTACAAGTCACCAGGATTTTGGAGGTGGTGTGATTAAGTGTGCAACACTGCAATAACGTGTCAGTGACCAGACTTCTCTTTTTTCCTACTGGAAATAAAATGTGAAAAAAAAGGAAGCAAAAAGCACCAGCTGGTTTGGTCTTTTCTTTTCAGCATCTGTTTTTTGTTTTTCAGCTCAAAGGGGAAAAAACAGACTTTACCCATCCATGTGTGCATACTGTCTGTCAGTTTTATTTTTTATAAATCAGGAAGATATGATCTGTTATGTAACAGCCTGTACAACGCGACATACAGAAAACAGAAATAACCCCCCCAAAAAATACAAATTAAATTGTACAAAGCAGCACTGGGCCATAAATAAACCCACTTAATAACTTTATTGTTTTCACATTTTTGATTGGAAGTGTTTTTCTTTTCCTCTTAATATTTCCCCGTCACAGCTGCTTTTATAGAAGGTGAGCGAGCTTCGATCGTGAAGTGAGTTTGGCTCTTTAAATGAAAGAAATGTTGGAAACTGAACTGAAGAGTGGGAAGCTGATCACATGCAGTCAAGGTGGATGCTGAGCATAAACGTTTGACACGGAGTGTAAATCATGAATAAACATTCACGTGTAAACACCTGGACGTAGGTCGCGGGGTGGATCGAGTGTAGGCTGAAAGGGTGGTCACACCTTTTTTGGTGTGAGTCCATTTCGCTGACCTTTAGAAGAAGAAGCTAAACATCTGGGGAAATGTGCGTTTTCACATGAAGATACAGTCAGCCTGTAGGACTCTTCAAAGCTACCACGTCCTCTGAAGCTTGGTAATTAACGTCCTCTCACTCTGGTTTGTTTAACCCGCACAAGCACTAACGAATAGAGAGCAGTGGCACTGATTCAGGATGCTTCTCTAGAGGAAGATTTGTGAATCTTTCAGAGGACCTCAGGAACCAACCTGAAGTTACCGTTTTCTCTCAAGCCATCGCTGACTAACGACAACACCAACTTGGTCAGCACTGGCGAACCCTTTCAGGACTCTGGTGAGAGTGCGGATTAAAGAAACGAGTGATTTTGTGCGGTGCAGCAGTGCTGAAACTCCAGTTACAGTCAGGCCTGCATCGCCCATCTCCGACCTGTACGCTCAGGTGGCTTCAGTCAGGGCTGTAACCAAGCAACAGTGAGAGATGCATTTCCAGAGGAACCTGGAGAGCATCTGTGTGCTACGGGTGCTGTTAAACCTACGACTTCATCCACATTTTCATCCCTTTCTCTTGTAAACCTTAAACTCAAAAAATACTGTCTGAAAACCTTTAAAATGAGGTATCACAGGGAACCATGTGGGAGAGCTTTAAAAGAGGCTCGCTGTAGCTTCATAATCATTATACAGGTGTGAAAGGTAAAAGCAAAAAAAGATGCTAATAAGCTTGTAATTTCTTTAAATTAAACAGTGTCCTATAAACTTGTCGTGTTTAATTCTACAGTATCTTAAAATATTTCATATCTCCTTAACTTGTAAGGCTGGAGCGTTAGTTATCATTCATCACCTGCACTTTGACAATCCCAAACGTGCAGCGGGGACATTTCCCAGGTCCTAACTTGTTTTCCCATTTGATAAAGAAGTGATGCTGGGCAAGACTGCAAACGGGGCCGATTTAAAAACAAACAAAAAAGCCAAACTGCTAATGTGGAGACATGAAGAGGACAGCAACATACAGTGGTACATGTGTAAACAACCCCCCCGCCCCCCAACCCACCCACTCCAGTTTTAAAATCCCTCCAGATTCAAGTGTGTCTTCTTTTTTCTCTGTGTGTGAAAACATCCTCACTCTCCTCGTTTTTTTTTCTTCTTTTTTACCCACATTTGTCTTTTTAGGTGACAGTTTGTTAACGTGCAGACTGGCAGGAGTGCAGCTCCTCCCAAAGTAAAACACTGACCAGCACAGTGTTAAAAGTAAGTGCCAAAAAGAGAAGCCGTTTGTGAGGCTCCGGGAAAGAAAGAAGAAAAAGAAAAGTGTAATAAAAATGACCAAAAAAAACCCCTACAGCGGATGAACGAATGCTTTGCGTGGATGAGAAGTTTAAAAATCGCCCACGAGTGTCTGAAACATAAAGTGCAGGCAGTGTCTGTCCTTTGAAACCGCCGCGGCGCCGC